TCAACACCTAACATTTTCACTTATGCTTGCAACAAGTCAATAACCCAGATCTTATGAGTTTATTCAACACCTAACATTTTCACTTATGCTTGCAACAAGTCAATAACCCAGATCTTATGAGTTTATTCAACACCTAACATTTTCACTTATGCTTGCAACAAGTCAATAACCCTAAATCTTGTTATGAATTTATTTAACACCTAACATCTTCACTTACACTTGGAGAAGTTGTTGATGCAAGAAGAGGTAGTAACCCTCCACATGCTATAACGATGTTATCAGTCAGGTGTGATATCAGGTGCACAGTGTTAATGATGAAAATGGCATTTTCACTACTGTTCACAAACTCAGTCAATGGTTTACCTGTGTTACTAAACAATTCATTAAAAACATTTATTTACAACCAATAAAGTCTACAAAAAACAAAACAGCTCTTACTGATAACTTTCTGTAATCTCATTTGCTTCTGATGTAAAAAATGTAAGAAGTTATGTTTTATTGTTACACTGTTGTGCATAAAGGAATATTTTATAAAAGAGAGTTGCATAACTGTTATACATAATTTAATTTTTTTAGGTAATATATTTATACTATCAATTATTTCAAACTGCATAGTGCTATCTACAGTTTCACACTACATAATACCACCAACCATCAATTATTTCACACTGCATAGTGCTATATACAGTTTCACACTACATAATATAGTCAAACAGTTCACAATGCATAATGTCATCTACACTTTCACATTGCATAGTGCTATCTACAGTTTCACACTACATAATACAGTCAAACAGTTCACACTGCATAATGTCATCTACACTTTCACACTGCATAGTGCTACCTACAGTTTCACACTACATAATACCACAAACCATCAATTATTTCACACTGCATAGTACTATCTACAGTTTCACACTGCATAGTACTATCTACAGTTTCACACTGCATAGTACTATCTACAGTTTCACACTACATAATACAGTCAAACAGTTCACACTGCATAATGCCATCTATACTTTCACACTGCATTATTTGATCTGCAGTTTCTCATAGCATTATACAATATTATTTCATACTGTATTACTCAGGATCAACAACAAAGTTGCAGCTCCTATTCTGCCCTTGAAAATAATACTTCCATCATCTATCATGTTAGTTCTGCTAACTATAATTATGCATCACAAGTTTCCTTATTATAAGCTCTTAAAAAGGACAGTGAGGTCAAATTAAAACAAAAAACATGATATACATTTTAGAGAACCTTCACTGTAGAAAAATCCATCAATGTTATACTGAAGGACATGAGAGGTGTATAGTCAAATATAATTCATGCAAACCAAATTTCTTTGGTTATATTTCTCATGAAAAATGGCCATTGATTTCATATTGTGAGCTTCATTAAATTGACATTTTTGTTTATTAATTTGTTAATGGTACTGAAAGAAATTCCCAACTTTCTTGCAATGGTTTTTTTGGGTTAGAAGATTCTCTTTCTAAACCATTCCTTCACGTCACAGATGAGGTTATTGTTCTAAATCAGTTTGAGGTGTGGTTTTGGAGTTCATTGTTGTCTTAGTGACCTATGGTACAAGTTTTTCCAGTTCTATGGAAAACATTAAAGCTCCTTTCTTATAAATATTCCATCCTTGGCACAATATTACCTAAAAATTTGGTAATATAAATATAATTTATCAAGTGGCACTGCAGTTTGGTGGTCCAAGGCACCACAACTTGCAACTATAGCATACAGACTTACAAAGTGTCAGTAATCAAACCAACTACTATTTCACACAACATTATAAATAAATTATAAAAATAAGTTATAAAATAAAAAACAGAAATTAAATCCTTTGAGAATAATTGTATTATTTTAAATAGCCCAATTCAGTTCTGCTGAAAATGTTTGCTTATTCTGACCTCTGTCACCACCAATTACAAGGAAGCTTATCCTGTCTCCAAAGGCATGAACAAAAAAAAATCATGTTTACCCTGTCCCTGCTAGCACATTAATCCAATAGCATGAAGAACAAAAAAATCATGTTTACCCTGTACCTGCTGACACAGTAAATAGGATAAATCAAGCAAGTTTACACTATCTCCAACTACATAAACAACAAATGAAAACACACACTTTTACCATCATTACAGAGATCAAAAGCAAAGAAAAAATATGTTTTCCAAACTACTAAGATGCTGAAAGCTTTTGTACTTTCACATTATTATCAATTTCTGATCAAAACAGTTTACATAGATCACAATTAAAAACTAACCCAACAATAAATACACATGATTTAATATACCATTTTTACTGAGAATAATTAGAATGCACTGACTCATCACTTGGATTCCCAAGACACTCAACACTATTTTACATCACTATAAAACATACTTACCTCCTCCAAACTTGGATATCTGTTTCTAGTGAGAACATCAAATCTGCTAGAAGCCTTTGGTGGATTCTAGACCACTGAAACTCTGGGATATGAAAAGGTGGTCGGGAAGGACCAGCACTAAAGATCTGCCTACTTGAAATAGCTGGTTTGTTGTTTAATCCACATTCTACAGTACTGTCTTGGTTCTTTGCTGCACCTGTATAGTGTCTCACAGAACTTTCAAGCTCCACAGTTGCATCTGGAATTGGTGCTTGTGACAACTCTTCATGCTTGTTTGATAGATATTTATTAGAAGCTGTTTCACTCAAAGCTGGTATTTCATTTCCTTCATCATCAGTAAGTGCTCCTTCCAGAGTAGTAGCATCTTTCAGAGCTTTCTCTGCTTCCATAAAATAACCTTCAATTGTGCTGACTATAATGGGAGGTTTTGCTTTGTCCTCCTCTGAAGGAGCCACAGTAGATGGCTGTTCTTCTTCAACAGAGTCATTACAGGAAGGTTCTGAGCTATCCTCTTTTGTGTCATCATCTTCTTTTAACCCAAAATCAGGGGCAGTGCTTTTGTGACGATCTTTGAATTCCTCTTCACTTATAACACTGTTAACAGTCTTTGCCTCCTCTGTTTTTGTGGAGTAGGTGTTATATTGATTCATTTTTTCTTCTTTTTGATCCTCAGACAAATCTTCACTTATGGGCAATAGCTCCTCCTCCTCTGCAACAACTCCCAATGTCCCAGAAGCATCATGAAATAAAGAGACTTCTTCAGATGGATTACTTGTAACTACTATGATATCTTCCTTTTCAAGATCAGCAGAGTGTGAGACAACCAGTTTATCTTCTGTAAGTAAACATTCTTTATTATTTGCTACTGTTTCTGATGTATCTTTTTCAATCAAAATATATTCGTCTTCAAAACTGCTTAAATTTTGAAGACTCAAGCTAGTTTCAAAAGTTTGGTCATAAACATAATTTGATTCTTCTTCCACATCTTTGATCTGAGGTACATCTTCAAGACCTTTGGAAGATAATTTCACAGTTTCTAATTGAAAATCACATGAAATATCACTGTTCAAAATCTCTTGGCTATTGGTTTCAGAGCTTACACCACTTTCTTGTAATCCATCATGATACGGTATATGATGAATTTCTTCAGATAAATCTGAAGATTGTCTGTCCACAAGGGCAACATTTATATTTTGTTGACTACTTTCTTTACTGGTGTCAATGTCAGATATTATCTCCTCTTTACCAGTTTCAATGTCTGGTTTTATCTCCTCTTTACTGGCTTCAATGTCAGATTTTAAATTTTCTTCATTGATTTTAAAGTCTGGTTTTTCCTCCTCCCTACTGGTTTCAATGTCTAGTTTTATCTCCTCTATACCAGCTTCAATCTCTGGTTTTAAATTCTCTTTACTGGTTTCAGTGTCTGGTTTTATCTCCTCTTTACAACTTGTTTCATTGTTACCAATTTCAGTGGTTGATTTTATCTTATCTTTATTACTATTTTCAGTGCTTTGTTTTTCTTCTTCTTTGCTCTGATTCTCAACTACAAGGTAATTATTTATAATATTTCTAGTATCCTTTGAATCAAACTCTGTTACATCTTTAACTTGATGTGAAGAATGAAGTAGACTTTCAAAATTTTCCCCAGAATTTTCTGGGTTCAGTTGGTCAACATGAAGAAAATCCTTTGTGAGTGTATTTTCCATTAACTTATCTATCTCCAGCTCAGTTTCCATGGTGAATGATAAATGTTCTGAAGTCTGAGTATCTGCATGCTTCAAGTCTAATGATTTTTGTCTATCTGTAGTGTGCAAATTTTCCACAGAAGAATGGTGTAGGGAATCCACCAAACTGCATGTTTTTGAATTTTTGCTGAATTCAATACCATCTCCTTCACATTCTTCCTCAAGACCAAGCTGGGGTTTGTTCATTTGCACCTCACCTGTCAAAGCCTCTTCTTCATCACCACATACCTTTGAAATTATCTCAACAGCTGTGTTTTTCAGGTCTCTGTTATGACATCTTGTACCAGAATCCTCAGTTACTAAAGGAGGTGCCAAAGTTTGCTCCATTACTGCTTCACATTGTGAAAAGTCACAAATTTTAATCTTACTTGGTAGTTCTTCACCAGATCCAGCTGAAGCCTCTTTTTCATTATCACAGACGGGGTAACTTAAACTACACCTACTACTACCATCAGAAGCTCCAAACTTTGAAACAGCAGTAGTTGTGTTTGGTTGAAAACATGTGCTAAATGCTTCTCCCGTGACTGTTTTGCTGCTACCAAGTTCTTTCTCTTGGTGAAGCTGGTAGATTTGTGCAAACTGGAGTTTGAAGTCTTCAAAAGATACCTGTGACATGGTTAAAATTTAGGAATTAGTAACACACACACAGAAATATCTTCTAGACCAATAGTGTAATTTTATCAGCTTTTACATTTCGGTTCTAGTTGTATTTTATATATACAGAAAACTGTGTAGAAATTGAAAAATATATATTTTTGACAGTTAATCTTTGTAGATATTCAACAGACAGTCCAATCTTAATCTATTTTCTGTGATACACAATATGTAGCTTTCAAACCAGAGCATTTCACAGAAATGTATATTTGCACCAATAAAGAAAAACATTACAAAATTTAAAATCATATTCCAGGCTGGTTCAGAAACTAATGATTTAGGTTATGTTAAATAATACCTAACTTATCATAAAAATATATCTACCTTGCTTCAAGTGAACACAAAATACCCATGCACAACACTTACCTTGGAGTGGACAATGGCTAAAGTGTCCACCCAAACCCTCCATCCACCATACTCTAACTTTATAGCATGGTGAAGAAGCATACGAATTAGAGAGTAGACAATGTCAGATATCTTCTGTTCTTCCAGGTTCTGAGGGTGGACATGAGCCATAGCCAGTAGCCAATCTTGCCATACTGACATCTGCAGGATACTCCTATAAATATCAACAATGACTTACAAAACACTCTGTTGAATACTGCTTTAGGAGTTACCACACTTAAATATTCTTCAAAAAATCTGATTTTTCCCATACTCTCAATCAAGGCTCCTAAAATGAGATATTGAAAGTCTGGAAGAATTTTGGATCACGGGAAAGGAGAGTAAGGGAATGGACAAAAATTGTGAATGAAAAGCAAAGAAAGGGGAAATAAAAAGATAGGAATAAAAGTAACTGTATATCAACTGTTGGGTTCTGTTGAATAAAAGTAACTGTATATCACCTGTTGGGTTCTGTTGAATAAAAGTAACTGTATATCAACTGTTGGGTTCTGTTGCTGAAGGCTCACTTCTATGGCTGTATTGAGCCAGTCAGACATGGTGAAAAATTAGTAAAACAAAATCATTCCCAATTTCTTTTGGACACTTATATGAAAGAATATTTACCACTGAGAGTTACAACCAAGAACAGTTATATTTATATATGTATTAAAATTTATGAGAAACAAGTCATTTCAACTTGATAAAACAGTATTTTTTTTACATTAAAAATAGTTATTTGTTATTAAGTTATAAGCAGTCTTCAGAAATGTACTAGTTCTATGAGTATTTTCATGGGTATTTCATTCTATAAGATATAACATTTGATCTTGATAACTCATAAAATTAACTTGAGTTCTAACGTACACAATCAGAAATCTATTAAGCAGTTTATATGAAAGACTGGTTAAAATGAACCAAGAGAGACAAAGCACACACAAAAGGAACGACATTGACTTCACGTTAACAAGTCAAACTTTCTTTACAGCTATAAAATGTACTGACACAAACCTAACAGGAATAGACAACACATATATTTTACACATAAAAAGAAACGAACCTCCGATTATCCTTGTTATTGCTGCACAGAAGAGTAATATCGGATAAAAACAGCTTCTTCACTTCCATCAGCTCGTCACATGGCCTAGACTGACGAATCAGTGTTGCCACCACTTTCAAGATCACTAACATACAAGGAAACAAATATTTTAACCAAAAATTGTGGTTTTTGAATTAACCCCTTCTGTGTTAGGTTTTTTTTTTAAAACGAAGTTAAAAAAAACAATTTTTTTTAATTTGCTTTTGATAGTTTACTGCAATATATGATAACATACTAAATTCAAGCAGATAATAAAGAATATGGCGAGAAATAGTTTGCCCAAATTAACTCGGGTAAAGATGTTTTTGAAACATGGAATTATCTTGGGGCAAATCACAGACGGGGTTAAAAAAATGTATATAAAATAAACTTGCAGTTGTTCTTCCAGGTACTTAAAATCTAAAATTGATTCAATACAAAAAGCATATTTAATTTTTTATACATAATTTTTATTTAGGGTTTATTTCAGCTCACTCCAAATGAAAACATGAAACATCAACATTCATTGATTTGTTGGAGTTTTTTCCAAGCACAATACAGCACTCACAGTTCCTAGGACAAAAGATGAAATAATTTGAACTAAAAAATGGCTACTCGACCCTTGTAATAAACTTGAATAAAAGTGTACTTTTATAGATTTTAAGCTCTTTCATCTGAAAAAAACCAATGTAGCTTTCAGTTCAGCAGAGAATCACCTATAAATCGTAATGTTTGCTTTACCATTTTATACTTCCTTTGAATCATGATGTTGCAATATGAAGCAGGCTTAGTTTGATGATTTTATACTTAATTGTATTAGGTTTGATTTCGAAAAGAAGGCCACTGTTTTAGGCTATGTTTACATTAGGCCTTATTGACCTAAATAACTACTTGAATGGCCAATTAGACTAACCCAAAATAATTGAAAGGTATATATATATATATATATATGTATGTATGTATGTATGTATGTATGTATGTATGTATGTATGTATGTATATAAAAATGTAAAACACGTTGAAAATTTATTACATATGATAAATTAAATCTTCTGATTGATTAACAATTTTTAAAAAAAGGTTGGTCAGCTTGCTTATAATTTTGATATACTAAAAAAGTTATTTTATTATACACCTGTCATCGTAAACACAGTAAAACTGTGTGCATTAATTTTCAAATCAAAACCAAGATAAAATGTCCAGTTTAATACAATAAAAACTTTAACAGAAAGTTTCCTAAGAATGAAGGAAGACATAAAAACCAGTAATTAAAATCTATAACAAATGTAAGCATTTTTAATTGTTTCTTAAAAAAAATTTCACAAAGAAATATTTTGGACTTTCAAAGCTGTAAGTATCACATATAAAATATATTTGCTTTGCTGAAGCAACATAATCTCTTGAAAGTTAATCTTACACTTCTAGTAGTTATATCCAGTACTTATTAATGCAGTGTATGAAGTACAGTTTTATTTTATCCTTGGATAAAATTAATGATAAAAATATTTCAAACTAAAATGGGTCAAATGTTTTGATGTCAGCTAGCACGTTTATCAAAGTTACTTTCAGCTTGAACTGTTTTTACTGTTCTGCACACTCTTAAGTAAAATTTTAATAATGTCTCCAAACCCACAAGACTTTATCCCATGACGCACAGTATAACAAATACACACTTAGTGGTGTTTCACTGTTAGAAAAAAAACAGTTACTTAAACTTACTAGGATTCTCCAGCCTACAGTTAGACTCTGGGTCAGGATGTTTTATGTAGAGAATCTGACTGGACACTCGCTCTATCAAGATCTGAAATATAATTCTTTATTAAGATATATTTTAAGCAGAGAAGAGTGTACTTGATTGGAAGAGACTTCTATAGACTTCCTTAGTAGTACCAAACACAGAAGTCTCTAATCAACTACTAAAATATCATTTCAGAACATTTTAACAAGACTAGAATACATACATACTACAACTTAATGTTCTCAAAACAAGACTAGACTATGTATATATTAACATAATGTTCTGAAACATATTAGAATACGTACATACTAAGATAATGTTCTGAAACAGACTAGATATGTATTTAATAAGATAATACTCTGAAACTGACTACATATGTATATCCTACAATACATTGTTCTGACTAGTACTTTTACATCCTACAATACATTGTTCTGACTAGTACTTTTACATACTACAATACATTGTTCTGACTAGTACTTTTACATACTACAATACATTGTTCTGACTAGTACTTTTACATACTACAATACATTGTTCTGACTAGTACTTTTATATCCTACAATACATTGTTCTGACTGGTACTTTTACATCCTACAATACATTGTTCTGACTAGTACTTTTATATCCTACAATACATTGTTCTGACTAGTACTTTTACATCCTACAATACATTGTTCTGACTAGTACTTTTACATCCTACAATACATTGTTCTGACTAGTACTTTTACATCCTACAATACATTGTTCTGACTAGTACTTTTATATCCTACAATACATTGTTCTGACTAGTACTTTTATATCCTACAATACATTGTTCTGACTAGTACTTTTATATACTATATGTTTTAAAACCAACATTACTAGCTCTTTAAGATATATCATCATCAACCATAGGATATAAATACAAACCATACTTTCTATATGATTCAACCACTGATATATTTTACGACATTAATCTATGATACTGTTTACCTCGTACAGTACATTGTACATGGGTAATGTCAAGTGTTCTCGATGCTGAAGTAGTTTCTCCGCCATTAACATAAACAGGTTGTGAGGTGCCATAACATCATTTTTTCTCCTGAAAATATTGAGGCAACGAATTAGAAATGTCATTTCACACATTATCACTTTATCATATATCAGAAACAGAAACTCTGAGAAAACCACAACAGGTATAAAAAATTATTTCGAAATTCAAACTACTGTATGCCAAAAGAATTTTTTAAATATTTTGCATCATTTTCTTTTCAATTCATAGTACAGTTACTTTTCAATTATTCAGGGTAAAATGCACCAATAATTAAAAAACAAGAATAATCTTGAAATCTCCATTTATTGTAAAACATGTTAAAATTAAGTAGTGCTTCATTACTGCATTAGACATTACTTAATAAAGTATTCTTTGCTTCTTTAGTGGACTTATTAGCATTTCTTATAATTGTTCTTATCTTCCTGGTTACTATGATACCATTGTACTCAAACCTCTGCTGTCCCTTGTAATTTAAGATGATATCAAGACACAGCTGACTTTATTTTAGAACGTCCCTCACCACTAACCAACGTCCCTTGTTGTTAATTCAATCAACTTTACTTTTTTTTTCTATATGTAGGAAACAGTTTGTACACCTATCACACAGTTTGTACACCTATAACATAGTCTTTACACCCATCACACAGTCTTTACATCTATCAAATAGTTTGTACATCTATCACATAGTTTGTACACCTATCATACTGTCTTTACAACTATCACACAGTTTGTACACCCATCACATAGTTTGTACATCCACCACACAGTTTGTACACCCATCACACAGTTTGTACACCCATCACACAGTTTGTACACCCATCACACAGTTTGTACACCCATCACACAGTTTGTACACCCATCACATAGTTTGTACACCCATCACACAGTTTGTACACCCATCACAAAGTCTTCAGTTAATTTAGCTGCAAATTCTCTTTCATCTAATTTATCAATTAACTGAAGTTTTTGTTTTATCACCAATAAAACTTTCTTTTGTTGTTCAGCCATTTTAACTAGGGCCTATCACACCACAGTCATACTAATTATGCTTCACAATAGTTTGAGGCCTGGACCTTTTCATTCAGCTGTTACCAGAAGTGAGACATTGTCATTAGTGTGTGGAAAGAAACAATCCTAACAGAAAGTCTCCAAGGATAATCGGCAGCATGAATAATCCACCCAGAAATAATTGTTGACTGTACTTCAAACTGAAACTTCATTTTATTTCATGTGCGCTTGTTTCAAACATAGTAAAAAAACTGTAATAATTAGATACATAATTAGAAACAATGATTTAAGAAACTGAAAAATTCTTTCATTATTCTGAAAAAAAAAGTTCTCACTTTGGAGTGCTTCGACTAAGAAAATAGCCCAGAAGTTTTAACGTTTGAAGTCTGATAGTTTCGTTAGAAAATCCCAGGAGCTTGAACACCAACCTGTTATTTCAGTGAAACAAATACTTTATATCAGTCTCTAAGAGTGATACACTTATATTGCTGTAATGGTTTCTACTGTTCAAATGATTATTTTAGTTTATTCTGTAAAAAAGAAGAATACAAAGTCCAGTCAACTTAATGAAAACAAATATTTCATTTCTCCAACAACAAATTCTACAGGTTCATTTAATTAATGTTTGCTGCTAAGGATAAGTTAAAAACAGATGATAATACAACAAGTTCACTTACTTAATAATTTCTCTTATTATATTGGCAAGAACACAAACTTGGCATTTCAAAAATGAACTAGCTGAATAAAATAAAGATTTACTACTTCAGACTCAAAAATAAAAGTAATCTACTCTGAACTAACATGCTTTTAATACTGCTCAAATTCTTCTGAACCTTTGGAGAAAATTCCTTATGAAATGCCACACTTATCATGCTGAATCAAACTTTCCTCAAACTGTGAACAGTACAAACCTCTAGAAACATGTAGAAGAAAAACACAGCCTACCACACCATAATTAAGAAATATAATTATTAGGTGCATGTGAAGTTTATAAATATTTAGATGGCTGAATATCACTTAGCTCGAAGGTGTGTTTGCTGATGAAATACAATGTTCTCTGCTGAAGCCTCCTGTTAGTTGAACAAATGTACTCAAGTTTGTAACATTAGCATTACACATAATATTAAATACATATAACATCTAAAGTTCCTCCCACTTCTGGAGCTGTTAAACCTCAGCTAATATAACACAAAACTCACCGTATTCCATTTTTAGCATCAAATGCTGGAACAATTGAGGCTGGATCTTCAACCATCAGAGCCATAAGCATCTGAAGCACGTCTGAAAGATTTTCATCCTGAGAAGATATCAATGAATATAAACTTTAATCATAAGCTACATCACATATTTGGAGAAAAATATTCACCTTACAGATAAAAGTACGAGTAAGTAAAGGACACTTAAAAAATGTCATTCTCATGAAAAATCAACAAATATTTTCGTTCAACTTAAAAGTAAAAAAAAAGCAGTTAGTAATAGATTACCCATGAAATTTTTAAACAAAAAATTTAAAAACGGCAAACAACCAAGAGAACATTTGATTGATTTCTATCCAGAAAAAGAACAAAAGAATGCTCTTTAATTTATAGAAACTAACCTTTTGAACAGATATGGTAGTTTAGATTGTTCTGGAGTTAATAGAAACTAACCTCTTGAACAGATATGGTAGTTTAGATTGTTCTGGAGTTTATAGAAACTAACCTCTTGAACAGATATGGTAGTTTAGATTGTTCTGGAGTTTATAGAAACTAACCTCTTGAACAGATATGGTAGTTTAGATTGTTCTGGAGTTTATAGAAACTAACCTCTTGAACAGATATGGTAGTTTAGATTGTTCTGGAGTTTATAGAAACTAACCTCTTGAACAGATATGGTAGTTTAGATTTTGTAGTTTATAGAAACTAACCTTTTGAACAGATATGGTAGTTTATACTCTGTAGTTTACAGAAACTAACGTCTAGAACAGATGATGTAGTTTATATTTTGTAGTTTACAGAAACTAACTTCTTACACAGATGAGATTGTTTAGTATTTTGTAGTTTACAGAAACTAACCTCTTGAACAGATGAGGTTGTTTATACTCTGTAGTTTACAGAAACTAACGTCTAGAACAGATGAGGTAGTTTATATTTTGTAGTTTACAAAAACTAACCTCTTGAACAAGTAAACTACAAAATATAAACTACCTCATTATAAACTACCTCATCTGTTCAAGAGGTTAGTTTCTCTCTGTAGTTTACAGACACTAACCTCTTGAACAGTTGTTAGGTAGTTTATACTCTGTAGTTTACAGACACTAACCTCTTGAACAGAGGAGGTAGTTTATACTCTGTAGTTTACAGACACTAACCTCTTGAACAGATGAGGTAGTTTATACTCTGTAGTTTACAGAAACTAACCTCTTGAACAGTTGTTAGGTAGTTTATATTCTGTAGTTTATAAAACTAACCTCTTGAACAGTTGTTAGGTAGTTTAGAATGCTCTGTAGTTCATCTTCTTTTCCACCATTACCCCTGATAATTAATTTTTTCAAGAAAAGAAGAATGTGTCTCCTCAAAGAAACAATTTCATTTTGATTTGGTCGTGATCCATCTGAAATTATTGAAAAAGTATTAAGTTTATGTCCCTTCCATCTGGTTTCATTTAAAAAGTGAATAACATCAGTAAATGCTTTTTTTCTTTGCCATAAGCTTGTATATAACTGAAACTTTGGTAAATATTCAGATGTCATTTTCTAATACTTTCTTACTAAACTTCAATAATCTTACCTAGACCTTTAGGAATAATACCACTTTTTTCTTGGGGATTAACAATCCAATAAAAAAACTTCAGACTGTGCATCAGTTGAAGTGTTGTTCCAACCCGACGGACAGTGCTAAAAAATGGATTATCTCCCAAAAACTCGGTAGCCAAGTAAGAATAGAGTTTTGTCTGTATCTGTAGAGGAATATAATTAAAAAATAATCACTACCTCTATCTTCACCACAAAAAATATTACATAAATAAACCTATGAGATTCAAAATAAATGAACGTTTAAATTATAATTACACTTTTAACACAAACAGTTTGATATTAAAAAACATAAAAAGTACTTTCACTCTTATTGATATGATCACCTCTTTCAAGAAACCCTGAAACTAAACAAACTAATCACCATCAAAAGAAGAAACTAGAAAACTTACTGCAGGTTTAGTGCATATCCACAATGCAGGGTTCAGAAGCACATGATCAAGGAGATGCTTTAACAATAACTCATTGCTCTTTGTGTTCACAGTCATCAAATATTTAGTTAGTGACAGGAATGAATTAAGAACATCCTCAGTAATGTGCTCCCTTGAGGCCTAAAAAGAAAAGTTACACAACAGTAAAACAAAATCATATAATAACAACTGTATACCAAGCAACATATCAAACACTTCTATACTGTTCACACTGTACAACAAACAAAATAAACACTTCTATACTGTTCACACTGTACAACAAACAAGA